AGTCAGTTGCCGATGTGACATCTACGTGGAAGTCACCAGTTCGGATCTACATCAAAGCGATGCTCTTTTGAGTGGATACTGAGCGAGGCCTCGTGACTGTCTCACTTGTTCAATTCGATTTTTTCAAAGGTTCTGAGCCATAGTTGCACACTTTATATGTAAAAGTCCGCTTTAGTCCAGCATGTTTCGTAGTATGAGCCTCATAGGAGTCTTGCGGCAAATCATACAATTTCTTTGTAGCACTTACATCCCTAAATTTTCGTGTGTGATCGGAACATATTGTTGCCGTTCACATGGGGGGTGCGAATGGAAGTGCAGCGACATGTACAGTGCAACTTGTACATATATATGTACCATATGTACTTTGGCTCAAGGATCAAGCGACTAGAAAAGGTGCGGTTTCCGTTCCGACGCTACGCCGCTTATGGACCGTCAGTGATAGCTTCAAACTTCGCTGATTAAGATCCACTCGCAAATACAACGTACTTCGGCGAAAGATAAACGCAGGAAGGCGAAAGTTTGGCGAAAGTAAATTTTTTTTGGCGAAAATGACGGATCCCGGATAAAGGAATTTAGATCAACTCCCATATATATATATCCTGAATAAAGCAAGATAGCCTCCCTAGCTGCCCTAGCTATGAAGCAATCACAGTCCATGCACGAATCAACATCATTGACACTTCCACGAAATTTCATGGTGTGGAACCTGCCTTTCACTTTGCACGAGGCCTGCCCAGAGGAATGCCCTTTTGCTGCCGAACTCGCAGATGCCAACCTGCAGCTTGGAAGCGAGGAATGTCCAGTGTACACCGTAAGTGGTCACCCAAAGTACCTCTGAGGTATTGCCATTTCAAGTGCGTCAAGGCCAAGGACTCGAGAAGTGACAGGATGCACTCTCTGTGCCTTTGTGCCTGTGCCTTGCTACGTGCTTGGAGGAGTGTGGCACTGCAGGGACTATGGCCAACCAAACGATACCAGAAAAAGATAAGGTCCCTGAGAATCTCAGAGGCAACTGGAGGACGTGATGTTGCTGTTTGGGACAGGATTGCAGGTCATCCTGTCTCGCGAAAGGTGATTTGGAGACCTTGAGGTTCACGTTTCGGAACCAAGTCAGTTAAAGTCTGGTGTACTAAGGAATCCTTACTGTCGCTACTGCTCAGTGGAGGCCTGTGCGGAGTGCACGGCCAGCCCACCTGGAGAAAAAGGAGGGGTCTAAAGCTGAGAAAAATCGCTGGATTGGATTATATAGATGGAATCTTCAACCATTCAGAGCCATGACAGACATCGTGGGATTCCCAATTACATCCAAGTACATTGCAATGGCAAACGGGATTGCTGAGGTTGAGACCTGCAAGAAGTGCATGCTCGGCTACACACTGTCATTCGGCACTAGCTCGGCAAAAGTCACTCCGAAACGATGCACAAGATGGCAGTGCCTAAACTGGTCACAGCTGTGCATCAATCCTGAGGGAAGAGGAGGGCAAGGACAGGCCGTGCAGCCAGAGATGAAGGTAATTAAGGCCTCCTTTAAAAGGGCTACCTTCCGTTTTTCCATATCTTTTTTGCTTTATCATTTTGATCAGTGCAAATGCATTGGTGATGCAAGGAGTGCAAATCTCACAGCGACAACGTTTTTCTTGGCCTGATTGTACTGGCTGGTATTGCGGGGCTGGCCGGATTGTGCCTTCGCTGAATAGCGGCTCTGAGCGAGGATTGCACAGCTTGCACTCGCATTGGTAAACTAGCCAATAGGATGTGAGAGAAACAGAGAAGCAGGCTGGTTGGTCATCCCAGATGATCACATTTTTCAGCCTGCAAGGGTAGAGTTGAGTCTCAAACCAAAGGGCTGTCAAGCTTTCATTTGGTTGCTCAGGTATTGGTATGTCACCTTGGCATCCAAGCCGGCAGTCAACCCAGAGGGATTGCAGCTACTTGGCTCAACAATTTGCGCACACTAAAAAGGCCGCTGACCTCATTTGTGGTATGCAGGGCATGTGGCCGGGGACGTGCCTGTAACTGCCTGTTCCAAAGCACAACAATGGGAACACAATTGATTGCATGCAGTGTAAAGCACTTTGTTCAGCTTGCAGCCGCATGTGTGAATTGGCCAGCATGTTAGGCAATCACGTGATCTTGGCAGTAAACTTTCATCTGCTCACTCTTGCAGCATGCCGAGTTTATGAGTCCAGGATAGTCCAGGTACAAGACTGGAGAAACAAACGGCAGGCAAGCAAGCGCCCCTCAGTTACTTAGGGGTGCCCCTTTTCAGCTTGAAAACGCCCCTGAGCCTGAACCAAAAGAAAAAGGGCACCCCCCCGACCTGTGAATGTCCTGCTCAACTCAACCTTTATCCCCCCGGACTGTAAACGTCCTGCCTTGATCTAAAGAGCCTATCATATCGGCCCTCAAATGCAAGACTTTCCGCCTCTCTGCCTTCTATTTCCCCATGCCTGACAGCAGTTCTAGTGCGTTGTCGAATTCACCCCACAACCACATTGACACATTGATGTCTTCTTATGGAGGCTGGCTTTCGTCCCCTCCCTTCTCAGGTATACATATATACAGTATATATATATATAGAGAGAGAGAGAGCGGGTGGTCATGGGGCCTGGGTTTTGGTTTTCCAAAAATGTTAGGTAAATGCTTCAGTGGCAGCCCCTCTCCATATAAACACACACACACACATATATATATATAATCTATTCCTGCTCTCTCTATATGAACAAATATATTGTGTATTCTTGAGTCATGGTCATTTTATTGTTTTAGAAGCAGCAATCAGTCATTCCGATGGTTTTGAACAAGATAATTAGGAAAGAAGCAGGCCATAAAAGTGCTTACTTTAACAATTGTCCTCTAGATCTATGCTTATAATTATGTGTAGATTTGGAAAAATTGTATATACACGCGTTTATGTTATAAAGGATTCTCTATAGATCTCTGCAGGTAATCATTTTCAGATTTGAACAACTATATAGAAACCTTGTATGTTAAAAGCTTTCTTCTAGATTTCTGCGGGTAAGAGCTTGCATTTTCAAAGCTTTCCTCTGGATTTTTGGGGAAAGTAGATATCCCATATATGTGTGTTTTCATGAAAGGAAAGCTCTTGAAAGAAAAACTTATTTATTGATATATAGCATGTTTAAATTGACGTGACCATTTCCAGAGATCCAAAGGAAAGAAAAAGCTTTTGAAATGAAAGCTTTTATATATTTTTATTGTAGAAATGATCATCCCCAGAGATCTAGAGGGAAGCTCTTGAATTAGAAGCTTGTACATAAAACATGTTTATATGTCTATATCATCTCCAGTCATTACTGTAAATAAATAAATCTAACTATCTACTCCAAAAAAGAGTCTTAGTCTTGTTCCCAGCACTCCCAGGGCAAAAAAGAACTGTAAAACACGGGGTTTTGTAGCATGTGTGTTCTTAAACTAAATAGACTAGAGCTAGAATAGAATTAGGTACAATTAAGTTGGATTTGAGTTAGAGCTAAGATAGAACTGAATTGAAACCGAATTTCAACTAAATGTGTATTGAACTACAACTATAACCTAATTGAAATTAGATCAGAGTTGAATTAGAAAGGATTTGGAATTAAAATTAGAAGTTCGCCAGAATAAGATGTAAAACGCTTGAGCTACAAGATGCACAAGTCGAGGAGGCTTCGAAATTACAAAGCCGAAGCAAATGCAACAAGCATTGAATTAGAACTACAGCTTACGCAGATTCATAACAGTTTCATGTAAATTGGAAGGTTTCATTACAGTTTCATGTCAAGCTGATTGGACATGCAATTGGCAACCACATTGATACCAATCAGAAGTTAATGCACAGACTTGTACATGGAGATTTCGACAAGGACAAAGGGAGTGTTGGGCTCAGACGCTTTCGTTGTAAGAGCAAAGAGCATATGCCTTTAGGTGAGACTTAGGCTCACATGCTTGAAGGTTGAGCGAAATAGTAATATATAACATAGATTAACCTAAATAGGAAAACCAAAAAACAAAAAACCTTGAGAAAGCCAATAACAAAACCTTGGGAAAGCAAAAAAAAACAATTCTCAGAAACTCTTGGCTGGACCCTCCAAAATCAGAAAAAACAAAAAAACAAAAAACGTTGAGAAAACCAACAAAAAACCAAAAACAACAATTCTGGGGAAGTCTTGAGGACAAGAGGGTCCAGACAAAAGTCTTTGATAATTGTATTTTTTTGTTTTCTCAAGTTTTTTTTTGTTTTTTGATTTTGAGGGGTCTAGACAAGAGTCTCTGAGAATTGTTTTTTTGTTTTTTTTGTTTTCCTAAGTTTATTGTGTTTTCTTATGTGTTTTTGATCCTTTATGCATATTTATGACAGTTTTTTAGTCGTGACTGTGTCACCAATGCATTTATCTAGCATTTACCTAAAATTTATGGAAAACCCAAACCCAGGCCCCATGGCCACCCCTTCTGTATATATATATATATATATACACACGCACTCGCTGCACTCATAATATCGTATAATTGCACAACACGCGCACACACACACATAAACTGGTGTACACTTCACACGACACCCACAGGTGTTTTGCCACTTTTGAGACCACGCCACATCCCAACGCGAGCCACCAGGCAGTCGAAAACAGACCCGGAAGCGTAGCTATTGCCATTGCTAGTAGTTTGCCACCCCCCGCCACTCAGAGAGTGGCATCTCAATTGCAGCGAAAATGTTTACACAGAGTTGAAGACAGTGGTGCACTATCCTCGAGGTTCACATTCAACTCACATACGTTCATATGCAGTTGAATCATAATGTATTATCATACCATGTTGCACGCAGGGTGAGTGCTAGAAGCACTGTGCGCAGCATGTCTGGTATGTCAAGTAGCTTTGCTCACTAGACCACTAAGCTCTTCTTTCATAATCTTTCATATTCATAAAAAGGATGACTTGTCTTTATGGTGCACATGCACGGCATAACTCATTGGCTCAGGTATGGTCAGTACAGCCAGTGGCGTATGATGGTGACACAAGACCACCATGGAGACGAGGGGCAGCCTTACCCGTCCCTGAGACGCAGATCGCAACTTTCCGTTCTTGACCAGCCCAGATATTTCGACATGAATGGTTGTATAGTTGTATACCAAAGCTGATGTGAAAAGGGCCCGGAATGACATGGACATTTATTTTCCAAGGTTTGCTACAAATCTGTGCAACGTTCATGTGGCTGGCCCTGGTGGCACGGCACTCTTTCGCTTCCAAGCGGCTGCGATCACCTGGGGCATACTGGTGTGCCTTGGGCATTTTGGTCCTTTCTGACGAAGCTTTGACTTGGATCTTGACTCATGAAAGGTTTTATGGAGACCAGCTGAGGATAGCTGTTTGGCTTGGCTTTGTTGCCTTTGCCAGGGGCCTGCTGCACCAGGGAGTAAGGTGTAACATGTAAACATATGGAAATGAGAAGAGATAGAGAGAGAGAGAGAGAGGAGGAAAAGGAAGGAGAGCAGATTGAGAACAGTTCGATTTCTTCGTAACTGCAAACCAGCTCAAGGTCAGCCGCGATTTGCTCATCCTGGGAAATCGCCCAGCTGTCACCCCACGACAGCTTTGTGAGGCCGCTGGGTTGTACATCAAGTAGCGTGTAAATCCAGATCAAGTAGAACAACAATGAACAACATGCAGATGCTTGTAATGCGAATTCAAAAAACAATCTTCCTGGCTGATTGTAGCACATGTCAGCAGATGTTGGATGGATACGTTGTACCAGGTGGTTGCATGGGGCCGACACCGGCAGTGACTGGGTTAGAGAGGGAGCTGAGGAGCGGAGTGGGAATCACAGGTATCGCATGAAGCTGCCCCACTGATTATCACTGATTTGTCCAGACGGTTGGAACATGTGTCGGACAAGTGTTCTGGTTTGGTTGTCCTAGTAAAAACTAGGGCAGAAAGTTTAAAGGACCACTTCAGTGTCACACATGCTAGCTGCTAGACCGATGGAGCAAGACACAATCCACTTTTTGCCACTATATAAACATCTAAGGATGCAGCTTATTTGGACCAAAGTGGCTTGGATTGCTTTCGCGTACCTACTTGGCACGTTTGGTCCCTTAGCCGCACCTGCTTCGGGAGATCTCTCTCGTGTTTTGATGTTTCCTCAACTCTTATGCCTGGTTCGACAAGTGAAAACAGTTTGAGTTTCAGCTTCAAAGGTGCAATTTGGTATGGGATCATGATGGCCAAGTTCTTCCGCGCCTTTGACAGTGAGCGTGCCCCGGCTTCTTGTTTCGTTGTTGACCTCTGACTTCTCTCAGCAGCTTGACCTCAGGTGCCACCTTGTCGGACTACGTGGCCGTTTTGGAGAATGTCCCGAAGCTACAGGGTAAGGACAAGGTTGAGGACATACTCAAAGAGGCTCTCAAAGAAGTCATAAGGTGTCCAAGCATCATCCTGTACTACAGCAATCATCAGCGAAGTTTCAAATCTTTCCATTCTTTCTTTCTCTCTCTCTCTCTCATACAGCTTCAAATTGGCCTTGGTTTGGCTACCCTATTCCTTCATGACTTGATTGGCTATAGTTGTGCACCTTCCAGGCGGTCCAGGAAGCAGTTGGCGGCCGTCTCTTGGATCAACTGGTCACACCGGATCAGCTTGGATCAGCCGTTAGCCGAAGGTGACAGTGACATTGCCAAAGAGATTGTGGCCGTGTCAGTCGGGTGGGACTTTCGAGAGCATCGTGCGCAGGCACGGGGGTTGCAGTTTTCGAATGGTCAGGACAGGCACCATATCTCACCATAGCCATACCGTCACAAAAGTTCACATAGAGCAGTTCATGAGCTGCACCCAATTGTTAACAACATCATACAACATCCACCCCCGAGCATTACAAACAACAACAGTTTGACGCACAGTGAAGTCCGGAAGCACGAAGTTCCTTTGCTTTGATCACCGGATGTTTAAAGCAGTCAGGTGCGTCACTTCATCGATGAAGAGGTGCGTGATGGGGTGAAAACTAGCGCAGTAGATCTTGGAGATCTCAATCGAAGTTTAGAATCTCAAAAATGGGTCTGTTTTGGCTTGTAGACACTGCTCCGGGCTGTTCAGGTGAAGGCATTCCACGAAAAGAATGATGAGCCACAGGAGATCCCCGCCGGCACCGGGGAGGAGGCACGAACGTGAGAGATTTTGGTAAGCAGCTTCATCTAGGCAGTGACTTCAAGATATCTTGCTAGCAAACAAGGCAAGAGGAAGAAGAGTCTAAAGGTCTAAAGAGAAGAGGACAGAGAAAGCAAAGAGGGAACAGAAGAAAGCTTCTGGTTTTGTTCACATCCCAAGTGTGCAAACTGCTGACCAAGTCGATCTATATATAGTCCTTTTTCCAGCTTCCGGACTTGGCAAAGTGGCCCGACACGGCACAACGCGTGCAGTTTGATAGCTTCTGTGGAAGCATCAACAAGCATGTCCTGAACAAGTGGCACCGTGGATGCACCAGCTGACTGGTGTTTCACGAGCAGAGGTGTATATAACTGGGTGAGAGCTTGAGTTGCAAGACCTTAGTTTTATGCTGATCAACTATGTTTAGTCCATGGCTCCTTTCTATTAAGTCTGCTGCATTGGTGATGTTCGATTTTCTTTGTTTGTGATTATACAATTATACATATTATGACAATGACTATTTTTGTCATTCAGTCTTTGGATGCCAGCTTCAGCCCTGAGGCACATCCACTTGGATGCTCAGGGTGAGGAGTTCACAGAAGAAGACCTCAAGCGAATTGACCTTGTTAGTTCTTTCGAGAGTTCTTTGTTTCATTGATGTATGCTAGATTGGATCGAAACGCCTAACGCCTTTAAACTTTAGCCTTCAACTCCTCAAACTTGAGGATGCCACCAAATGCCAAACACAAAGTGTTTCATTTCGGGATATGATATCAACAGGGTACATACAAGTCTGGCGCAATTTTTGGCTGTGCGCCATACCAAAGGACGAGCCAATCAGTGCTTCTGAGGAAGAACCTGGAGAACATGGAGACTGCCCCAACCTCTTACGTGATCTTCATGACGGAAAGTGCCAGGCTGAAATGGGAGTAACTCAACGCTCGTGGCATGGTGCATGAGTTGCAAAGGAGCTTAGGACTTTTGGAGATAGAATTGATAGAATGCAGAGGAGGAAACAGAAGACTGATTCACTGCGGCAGGGACAAAGCAGTCGAGTTGACGAAGGTGGACCGGTCCAGGATGCTGTGTTTTCTGTCGATTGAGATGCGCAATTCTTGTCACCAAAGCAGCCCCTTGTTGGAGTAACTCTGTGAACTTTTATATCATAGACTCATGTAGCGCTGTGATAGCGATAGGCACAAGGGCTAGAAGGAATAGTGTTTTGGAATTTATACAATTTGTCGAGTTTGGGACAAACCTGAACTGTCCAAAGTCCACGCCAGGCTGCCGGGGTAAAAGTCAATGATACAACATGCAGTTTGCGACCAGAGACCTATGAACCGGAGGCTTGGTCGACGTGATTGACTTTCGACATCCTATATGGATCTGGGGTTTTCAACATAGACTTGATGTACAGCTGTCAGATCTAGATGCAGAGATGGAAGTCATCAACATCGCAACCGCAATTTGTAATGAAGTTTTTATTGCCTCTCATCAAGATCTCTCAAGACGTTGAATTTGGAATTCAGCAAGTGGTCCTTTTCCAATCTACTTGCCACGCCAAACATGGGGCTGTAAGAGCAAGGCTGTTTTACCCCTTGGTTCCTCCATTTAAACACCTTATCTTATCCAGAGGAGGGAGGAAGGCGGTGAGGAGGGAGATGCTTGGAGGTAGCTCGTAAGAACTATGCTATGGAGTAAGAAGAATTACCAGCAGAAAAGATGCAAAAGGGCTGGTTTGAACCTTTGGAAGAAGCTGCATTGAATCCTTCGCATGATCAAAACAATGGTCTTTCCTTTAGGGATTATAATTTATTTAAATGACTTTTTCTTTGCTTGATGCTCATTTCTTGGGTGTGCCATGCGCACGCTGTCACCTGGAACCTGACGGGCCAGGCGCTGTTCTGGCACAATTTGCAAGTGACTCCCGAGCAGCGACGCTGGAAGTTCATGGGCTCCAGTGTGGCTTGGCATGAAGCTGCTGGGAAGGCCACAAACACCTCAAATGAGTTTCTGATTCCAAGAACTACGCCAGCTAACCATGTTGATCCATATTTGGCTATCCTATCCGTGTGAATTTAGAACTTTCGAACTTGGGAGTTTCGTCACGTCGAAGCCTCCCCGCACTGGATAGAGAGCGGCATGCACTCCTGGAATTCCGGACCGTAAGGTAAATATTTTCCTCACCTGCTTGGCATGGACTGTTCTCCTTTACATCCCATATGCCCACTACATGCCGCTGGCTCAGTCACAACCCCTTCCGGAGTGATGCAGATGGTGTTTGCCTCGGAATCTTCACAAGATCATCCGATGTAAAGGTTGCAACGGTCCAGCAGAGGTCGGCCTTTTCCTACGCGAATGGGGACGAGCCAAGTGAACTGGCCGAGGGTATCCCGGCAACTATATTCCAGAACTGAAGGACGGACTGCAGTTTTGGACATCCTGAAACAACACAAGGCAAAACTGTCACGGTTTTGGTTGGACATTTTGAGCAATCAAGAGAAACGGTTCGTGATATCTTAGGGATGTCCAGCTGTCACGTTCTTTCTTCCCAACATTTTTGCTGAATTTAGACCTGCAAGACAGAGTGTCAACAAGGCTCATTACTGTAAAAGGAAACAAAGCGGAAAAGGAAGTGGATAGACTGGCAAGGCTGGGGAAGGATAGAACAGGCCAGAAGATCGGCATGAAACTGGCAGGATGGGTAGAAACGGGAGAGGCAAGAAAAGGAAAAGGAACGAACGGGAAGAAACATGGTAGGTTGGGAAGAAAGAGCAGAAAGGAGCATCCACCAGAACAGAAGGAAAAAGGGCACTTTGAATGCCGTGACTTGAAAGTACACATCACATACCTAGACTCGAGGTTTTAGGAGGGAAATCAGTAAAAATGGCACGGGACAGTTGTATACTTGGAATGCCTAATGAAAGGGAATGGAAGTGGAGAAGGCAGGGGATAGAATCCGACAGAATGCCAAGGAAGGGACAGAGTAGAATTGTAGAACAGGCAACAAGATGGGAGGAGTGGAAAAGAATGGAAGGGAATGGGAACACACACAGTCAAGCTCGGGATAGAGAACACCCAACCAAATTCAACTTTAAATTCAATGATGGAAATGGATGAACATGGCGATGCCTCATGTCAATTCAAGCAAATAAGTCATGTGGCAGATCCATGGAGAAAGGTCACTGAGATGAGTCATGTGTTCTGAGGTGCCTTTGTTTCCCTGGTGGTCGGTGCACAAGTTGGTCTCTTTGTGGCCAGTAGTATCGGAGCGGACTTCTGCGGCTTGGTGTCATTGCGACCTGATTTGTTGGCAGTTTATTGGCAATTTACGTCAATAATGTGTCCATATGACTCTTGCGAAGTAATTAATGTGTGGCATCAAGTCAATCATCTCACAACGATTGTGTGTGAAGATAGACACAGACAAGCTATTGTCAGGGCAAGCACTCACCACCATCCTGAGGTCAATGCCACTACGAGGTGCCGATGGGGGGGTCGCAAACACATGGATTTCGACTCGAGCTCAAAGATAATTAGGGCACCAAAATAGAGCATTGCACCAAGTGTTGGATCAGGACCAGAAGCACAGGATTTACATTATTTTCTACAATGCTGCCCTGATCTTGAACCTGGTGCTTGACATTTTGCTGCAAGGCCCTTGACAGAGTGGTTTGTCGTGGTATCGACATGATGCCACCAACACTTATGCGCTTGTACACAGGGACAACACGAGAAGAAAAGCCTTGTAGGAAGAAGTTTCAGTGTTATTTTAAAAGTAATTACGAAAGCCAACCGATAGGCTAGGCTTGAGCTTTTAGGGCGAACGAAGTGAGTTAAGCGGGTGTGGTGGTCGCTGAGGAGGACCTTTTGATAGGGTGAACCAGAGCTTGGTGGGGGAGAGCGCTCCAAAGCGAGGGTCGGAAAAGCAGTGAACATGGGGTTTGGTGATGCGAGTGATGTAATGGACGCCGAGTAGTGCATCATTAGCATCAGGAAAGGCTTTGGAGGCTACTTGGACGTGCCCGTTCACTCTTCCAAGTCAACGAATGCCGCTTTTCGACGTGCCGCAGTGTGCGCTGCAAACTTCAAACGCTCCAAATGTAACAAGCACATAACTCCCCTTCGCTAACGCCGATGTCGCCTTCCAACTTCCACAAGATGCATACCTTCCTGCATGTGACATTTTTTAGTGATTCCGCGACCACCGAGATCTACACCAACATACAACGTATCGCACTTCTCTTTCACTACTTCTTTCACACCAAACTTATCCCAAAGCCGCCCCGCTTGCTTCTCTGCTCCCTCCATCACCATTACATACGCCCCCCCACATCCGCGGGCACCGCTGACTCGCAAGCTGCCGACCATGTGTCTTGTGCCACGACGCCCGCCAGAAAGAGAGACACTCGTCTGGCGGCTGCTGGCTTTCGTCCCCCCCTTCTCAGGCTTTCTGACGTTTCATATTGCTTCGCTATCTTCATAGCTGAAGTTTTCTTCCAAGCTTCTGTTGACAAGAGATGGACACATGTTCAAAGGCCCTCATTTATGACTATGACACGGTTTCCATGACTGGTGACTCAACTCGTAGGTTTGGTCGGTTTCCAGTTTCCTCCCCGCCCATCCTGGCACGACCTGGCGCAGGTTACTTAAGCTACTTGCAAATGGTGGGTGTTGGCGCGCGTGTAGCTGATGGTCGGCTTTTGGGAAGCCTCACGAGCTTACAGGACAAACCGTTTCATTGACACAGCAAGGGACGGCAAACAAAGCGGATACAAACGTATCAGAACAAACTGTTTAATGTGGACATATAGCACACACTATGTACAAAGACTACATACTATGTACAAAGACTACATAAAACACTAACTACAAGAACTTGACTCAAACAACACGCCTCAAAAAAACCAGAAAGGACCGTTCTGAAGAAACATGAGCATCATGACATCATGTCCTAATTGAGATGCGATCAGCCAAAGCAAGGCAGTCCTTCAAGAACGTGTCAAATCGACCAGGAAATTTTCGAGTCCTATCCCATGCAAAAGTCCGTTGGAAAACTATTATTCAAATACTGCAGCTTGGATGCATCATGGTCAAGAGCAACAACGTTCGCGGGCCAGCTGCAAAAAGTCTGGAATTATTGTTCACGGAGCTTGTTCTGGTGTCCTTGTGATGCCATGGGCCCAATCTTGGAAGAAACCTGATAACCGAGGTTGGCCATGTACCTTTCTTGTACCATTTGTCGCAGAGCCTTTCTTGGCACAGCTAGGTCTCTTTGGCAAGGAATTGGAGTTCAGGCAGAGGGAGAAAGACCTATTTTGTAGATTCATCCGGACTTGCAAACTGAGGTCCTTATCACGTGGGCTCTCTGCTTTTGCGGAGTAATGAGTCACTTGCCTCATAGCTTTGGGAGTCAACATCCACCACAAGGGTCAATCAAATGCACAGAATGAGGAGAATTCGCGGGGAGAATGCCGAACGTGCTCTGGAGCTGTGACTTCGGCAGAGTATTTTTTGAGGTTTGAGCTGTGCCTGTGATTTGTTCTATTTTGAAACATTCCTTTAACTCACACTGCGCCACTCCGCCCAACAGGTCTGAAATGGAGCAAGGCCGTTACGCCGACGTGATTTTCAACCTGATCCTGGTGGCATGCATTCCCTTCATAGCTCCTGTCTGGCTCACAGTGAGTGGTATGTGATCGCGAGCTGAGCATGTTTGATTCATTGTGTCCAGAGTTGCTGGCCCACAGATGCTAGAATGATGCCCGGAGCGGTTTCCATAAAGATCACAAAAGCTAGCGTTTGCTACTTGCAGGTGAGTTTGTTCTTGCTCTAGCAAGGGAGGGAGACTTGAGGCCAATCTTTCACCAGAATCCCCAGACCCTTCGGCGACAAGTCGCCTATGAGTACATCGAGAAATGGCCACAACATAGATGAAAGGTAAGCTGGCAGTTGCGGTTCGACACATTTGATTCTTTGAGCCAGGATTCCGCAGTGATTCGCTTTTGCAGCCAATTGTCCTGGCTATTGTTTGTCCCTTGCTGCCTCAAGTTGACGATGTTCGTGTGACGAGGCTTACATGCTGTGGACCTATGGAGCTTTTCTGGTCTCCCACCTGCCGCTTGGCGACTGTTTTTTTGGGGTGAGTGCAATAGAGATTGAAGCTTTGGTTTCTTGTTTGCAGATGCGTCAAATGAGAACAGAAAAGCAAAGCAAGAATAGACAGTGACAGCTTTAAATTACACTCAGTTGGTTTTGTCAGGTATATCTACTGGTACGATCATTGGAAAACCTTGCGCTGGGCCCGGAAGTTCTACTTCTCGAGTGACGAAGCACCTCGGAATTGTGAGCGAACTTCTGTGCAAACAGGGTGAATCCAGGCCTTGTCCCTGTGCAGAATTCAGCAAAAACGGTCCATTTGCAAAAAGGCGCTTTTGCAATCGGGAGTAGCAAGATTAGCCAACTAGTGAACCCAGTGGAAATGGCGGTTCCCAACATGGACCTCAAAAGGTTGCAACACCCTCTGCAGTGAGGTGCATTGGTTTGGACAACAGCTCCTGAGTCTTCCATTGGGAATCCTAGCTGCTGCCTTGGTATTCAAAGCCAACCAGCCGCTTGGCCAATGTCAAAGGTGAATAAATCATGTTTTGTGCGCGATTGATTTCCAGGTTTTGTCGTGCTCCCGTGCCTCCAGTGACTCCAGTGGTTGGATAGATGACCTCCACCCCAAAGTGCCACATCCAGGGGGGCCGTGCTTGGAATCTGAATGAAGCTTATTGTGTGCTGGGTGGTGCAGTGGGAGGAGACCATTGCCACACACAACCTGAGGATGAGTGGCGGCCCAAATGCAAAGTTAGGATCTGGGGTGCTCCTGACACGGCTTTGAGAAGGAGGGAATACTTAATTAGTTCTTGGCTGCCAGGAGACATTTGGGTTGCTGGAGCCATGGGATTCATAGCCATGATGAAGTAGGATAGTGCTACGAATTGCACAAAAAAGAGACGGAGCTCATTGGCATCCTGAAGGACCTTGCATGCTACATGTGTTACGGAAGGTAGGAGGCCATCGCTAGTAGGTTGGAGGCCATCGCTATTAGTAATTTTAATTAGATTCCAATTAAATTATAATAGCTTCTTGTTACTACTAGTAAGGCACTTGTTACTAGAGGCGATGCACTTGTTACTACTAGCTACTGGGACATGTTCATATTTTAGTGGCACATTCTAAGTCTCTAAGGACGGTGTTTAGACGGCGCCATTGGCAGGTGCTTCAAGGATCGACCCTAGGTGCTGCTATGGCCGGTGCCTTTGTGCTCCACGTCTTGATCCATTTGACCCTGCTCCTTAGAAGCAAAGTCCATTGAGCCCATTTCACCCTTTTCATGTCAGAATCGGGAGCAGAGACATTTTTGTAATTTTGAGCATTGGCTTCCTGTGATGGGGCACGTGAGGGTTTTTGAGGCCCTTTTGGCAAACAGTATCTATTTCTACTCATTGTTTCGTCTATCCCAGGTTGGACATGGTTGTCAAGCCGCATCTTGTCTGAACCATGTGATGGTGAAAGGGGAATGCTAGATTCAGAGTTGCTCCTAGGTTCAGAATAGATCCCAACAAGGCCAGGATCCTGACAGAGCAGTGCAAAGTTCAGGTCAAGCGAGAGTTCAATGCGTTCTGATTGATTGTAGCCTGTAGCTTATTCGAAGACTGTGAAGAAGACAGTAGTCACCAAGGTTCTTCTCATAGCTATGTCCACATCCAAGTGATTTAAGCAGAAGACCACTATATATATATATATATATGTTGCCGGAAATTACACTCATTCTGAAGAGGAGATGAAGCCGTTAAACAACGCCAGTCAGTACTCTCTGGTTCCTCCATCCCAGAATCATCAGATTAAGATGATTTTTGAGTCTTGAGATACTGTACTTTTAACACCTAGTGCATTGTGCATTTGTGAGTGAACGCCAGGCTGAAAACACAACGCCATTCTCAGCAGTTGCAGAAGAGGACTGAAGGGCAGAATGGCTTTGACTTTAAGGGCCTCCACTAGTCCTTTGCATTCTCCCTGAACAGGCACTTTGGACATGTTTTGGATTCATCAATAGTGCATGTTCAACTGCCCTTTCATTAAGTCTGCAAGTTTGTGCTGGAGATCCTATTGAGCTGGTGAGCAAAAAGGATGGATGGCATTAGGAAACTCATGCGACCGGAGGCAAAGAAGAAGAACGTTACGTTTTTAGTAACAAGGCACCTTACTACTAGTAACAAGAAGCTACTAGTAGCTCCTGGCATTACGACTAGTAGCAAGAAGCTACTGATTAGTTCATGCTACATCCAAGTCTATCTAGTCACGAGAGTTCGTGGGGTAGCAATGGATTGACAGCCATCCTGGCCATCCTTCGCTGTGAGGGACAGTGAAGTCCACTCCCGAACATGGGGTCCTGATGTTTCATACTTGTTAAGAACCAGTCGTTCCTTGCGGAGGTTGGATTGCTTGGTGACTTATTTCGTTGGCACTGTTTTGACTGATGATTAGATTGTTCAGTGTGATCAATTTCTTGGGCTTTTCATTGTTTCCTCATGAAAAGGAACGTGAATGGGTACGCTTGGGCCCCACTTGATGGAGTGGACCATATTGTTTTTGTGCTCAAGGGTTAACAACAGGTTGGAGGCCATCGCTATTAGTAGTTTTAATTAGATTCTAATTATATAAATTCTAATGGCTTCTTGTTACTACTAGTAAGGCACTTGCTACTAGAAGCGATGCACTTGTTACTACTAGCTCCTTTTCGTTCTTTTTTCACTTCACTTCTTGTCCCCGCCCTTTGAAGCGTAAGGAACTACGCACTGCAAGAAATTTGGGGTTTTGCTTGAAATACTCTGGTCGTATCATCGGGCTTCAGTGGTCTTGGACCCCGTTCAAAATGACAATCACGTGAGTTTTCTGGAACTCTATCCAGTTTTCTGGAACTGTATGTCCTCTTTTCGGAACTATATAGCAAAACTGCCCCGAGGCCAGACCAGTGTTGTGTATTACTATTATTCCATAATTATAATGGACAACAACCTTAAACGCATCCTTCACACTTGCCCCATAGTTGATTGTTCAGCTTCTTTTGTTGCAGAGGTTTTTGAGTGGCAATGACGTACTGGTGTTCTTGGTTGGTTGGGGTAGGCAGGAACGCGGAACCCTCTCTCCCACCTGACAAACTAGTTATGCCGCTATTTGGCATTATTTGGCCTTGTTTAGTTGGAACAGTTTGCAGTTTGTTTGGAGCTGACTGCTCCCCGCTTGTCAAGGTTTTGTGCAGCACCTTAGCAGGATCAAAACCAAATCGCACATAGCAGCAGCATTTACACTTGTGAAAGCACACGGCACACATTGCACTGCACCAAGAGTCATGCGCACTACTGGATCGCAAAGACTTGTGTACACCTCAATGTGAAGGCTTCAGCGTGTAACTGCAGTGCACAAGTCTTCGATCTTTTGCGTGAGCCTGTCTTTGCCCACAATAGTTCCCTAGGGAATACAGTGCTTTGAAGGGTGCGAGACCTATCTCACATATGTCTCTTTCTGCAGATTGTTCTGTTGGTCACTTTCAATCCTTTCCACCAGTTTCCTGAAGCGACACGAGAAGCAACAGCAGAGTGTTTTTGATGGGAGGCTGTTTCTTGAAGTTCACATTAATTTGCTTCTGCACGATTGCAGTGCAGGAAGCTGCCACTCATTTGTCTACGAATCCGATCCAATGCTTGCGATCCAAGTTCATTCTGCAGGCATCCTGTTTTTCAAAGCGATGAACGATTTCTGAGTACAAGTTGGAGTACCAAGAGTGTTGTATTCCTATTGAATCTAGAACAGGATTGGGTTTTGGACGCCGTCGCCAAGTTCTTGCCTCCATAAAATTTGTCAAGTAGCATGTTGAGCACTTTGGAGATCGTTGGCGAGATTCCTGCTCACCTGTCATCCCAGGATTCACCTCCATTGAGTCCTTTTGTGCTGGGAAAGGACCGATCCGATCTAAGATGAGCAAAGTTTATCATTGTTGTGTGCTGTAGGAGGTCTTTGTGAATGTCAAATCCCTAGGGCACTGCTTCTTTTTTTCGCCCAGCAGACAGGAGAGGATCATGAAGGCAAATCCCAAACTTGGTGCCTATTTCGACGGAGAACAAGATGCGAAACAAAAGGTTCAGTCCTCAGGTTCTCAGCACTGGACCAGTCAACCCCAAAATGCTCAGTTTTTGCTCAGTTTTTATTTTGGAAGGTTTCTGTGCTACTCCGGTTTACGGAAGTCCGAGGAAAAGCACCGTGAGGTGCGCAAATCGCAGCAAAGCGTTTCGGAACCTCAGGAGGAGTGAATCACACAGTTAGCCGATTCAAGGGCTTTGACTTTGTTTGGAAACTTTGGTGTTTCATGTACTTGTGAGCATCACATCAGTTGATTGTCATGTCAGTTGTGAACCGGCAAGTTTTACTGTTGCAACACCCATTCACACGAGACTTTGCAAACTAGGTAACTAACTAAGGCAATTTCTTTCCTTTTGGTGAGCCTGTTACTTCCAGGAGAAAGCTTGAAGACTTTGGCCATCCAGAGCTGAAAATGCTTCCAACAGACTACAGCCCATCAATCTTGAATATATACTTTTTATTTGCTTGATAATCAACAATGATTACGAAGTGGCTGTAGTCAAACACATCACACATTCGGCTTCAGATGCTGGTCCTTTGGTACAACAAAGCGCATGCCAGAAGCTACCAGAGTTCCGACATTATGTGAAGCAAGCTGCTGTGTTCTACTTTTGCTCTGACAACTTGCTGCCACGCATGGATTAGACAGTCCCAGTCTGCAGGTGGTGAGCTCCTCGAACCGCTTTCAAAGCGAGGAGGTACTCGAGCGAGATCGCCAAAGGCCTCCAAGAAGAGAAGTGCTGAATCTGGTTGAATCTGTTTGAATCCAGTGCTCAATCGTCTAAGACGATAGCTGACCCGTGATCTACGCTGTACACGACAGGCAGCGTGTTGCTGCCTCTGACCTCCGCTCCCGTGGTGGTGGACGCCATGCTGGGAACACCTGGAGAGTTGAACGTGCTGTACTGCTGTACCCTGCTGTACCTTTTTTGAAGTGCAAATGTGTTTTGGTGATGTGCGCGGCAGCGTCATAGTCACGTGTCATCATAGTCACCATCAGAAAAGCATATGAAAAGCAGTAACACAGCTGTTGTTCTTGACCCAGAACGCTTCACCGGCACGCTCACATGCCGCTGCGCTCTTCTTTGGGAGCGGCGTCCAGCAGGCGTCGGCATTTCATTGTTCATTTGAGCTTTGAGCGTTGAAGGCTTTTCGCCGAGTAACAAGAAGCTACTGGGAACAAAGGGCATCGCTACTAGGAGCAAGAAGCTACTAGTAGCTCCAGGCCATACTACTATACAATAGTAACATCTAGTAACAAGAAGCTATTAGTAACAAGGGCAATATAATTTTGTTTTTTGTTTGTGTGGTTTCTACCTTGCTGACTCCGTCAGAGGAGCCTGTGCACCTGCCACCTGGAGCGCTCCAACATGTTGCGCGACCACCTTCAAGGCCTGCAAAGCCATGTTTCAGAACCTCCCATGACTGCAGGAATTATGGCACAACTCAAAACATATATTTTCATATATATATATATATTTACACACACACATTTTTCCCGAATCAACACGCCAAGATAAGCTAAGTATTTATATAGAGGCTTTGATGCGAAGCTTTGGTACCATTTTCTCACCGTTGCTGTTGGTTCTGAGGGGTGTGTCGTGCCAAACTCTGTTTGGCCATACTAGCAGTCCTAAAGCTGTGAGGCATTTCCGCTTGTCACTTCGCAACCAAATCATGGCCTGCCAAGCTAGCAAAGGGCAGCTTCGCATCGAAGAATAACTAGATGCAAACTCACAATCACACTTAGTCACTCTTAGGTTGGATCATTTGTTGCTGTCCGATTTGTCATGGCTGGACCTCCCGCGCTGTTGGCAGCAAGGGCGCAGGTGCGGACAGCTGCTCTTGCCGCAGAGTTGCTTCAGCTTGGTGTCTCCGGGGGACTGTGCCTTGGCTGTTTGAGAGCAACCTGATGCCATTTGTTGCCTTTGTATCGCTTGTGTCAGTCTCAATGAAGCCGGCAGAGCTTAAAGTTTTCATTTGAAGACTGATTGGGGACAGAAGCTACATGCTATAAAACTTAGGGGCATTTAGGAGCCATGCGGTTGCACCTCTCAATACTGTACTCCAAAACACTGTGACTGTGTCACCGTCAAAGGATTGAGAATGTTCGATTCTGCCAATAGCTTTTGGGACAATCCAAGGCTGGTGGGTGAAGCAGCGGCCGCTGTGAGCATTGGTGATGGTCTGCTGTTCAAAGGCAGTGAGGGAGCAGCAGAATCTTGGCTCGTTGGTGTACTCCAATCTTTGAGTCTTTTGAGCTGTTCCACATGAAAATGACTTAGAATTATGCCGTACTCCACTGGTTGGCGATCAGAATCAGCCGCTGGAGCACACTGAGGAGGCCGTCGCAGTGGCGTGCCTAACCTCCATCCCCATGGTCTCTGCTTTTGCCGCTGCACTTCTCTGTTGTGACCCGAGTTCCGCTTCAGGGAGTGGCACGGTCTCGAGCGGATTGGCCAGGACCTTCCAAGTTCTGGCAGCTTTGGCAATCCTTGAGGCGAATAGGGAATGAGCTTGGTGTATGGAATAATTTGGTGTGAGTGTCCGACACCAACATACACGCACACAGAATGCTTTGTGGCTTTGTTTGGAGGTGATATTCCTTTGCATTACTGGTGTCTTCCAGCCGTCCATGCATGCACTGGCATGGCCATTAGCAGTGGCAGTTTGCTTCAGCCGTGCTGCTGTGGCGTGGAGTACACGAGTCTTACCTGCAGCAACGGCCTCCTCGCGCCCTGGCCCAGTGGGGGTGCGCCCCCCACGGCTGCTGCGGAAGACAAATGTGGCGGAGAAAAGTCACTTGGTTTGAAAACATCCTCTCCACTAGCCGCCAAATAGCTAGCCTATTCTGCTTGAGACAAAGGGATGCTGGGTGTTGTAAAAGCGGGACCTGCCAAGCAGAATATGTCGCGGCGCTAGAGCCGCGCAGAATATGTTGAGAATATTGCACATATGATGGTTGCCTTTATGCGCGCACACACACACACACGGCATTCCCAACAACTAGCACCATGCAATTTGCATTCCTTTTGGCACCACTGGATCATGTGATGTTCAACAGGTTTCTCTAGTCCAGAGTCTTAGATTGGTGCGGCCACTTTCGTTTGTAAGTTACGTGCTACGACCAATTCAGGGTGCATTGCGTCATTTGCCAATGTCACTGTAGCATGGGGAACTTGTCACCATCCGACTTCAAGGATTTCTATTTCATGTGCTGCACTTCAGGTCAGCAGACAGAGCTGAAGGTGAAGCTGCAGTTTCCGGAGTTGGATTTTGATGAAATGCAAACTTCAGAGGAGTGGAGAGAGAAACTCCTACAACACTTTCGAAGAGATCAGGGCATTTCTGCAGAGATTTGTGATCACCTGCAGATCGAACTCGCTCAAGGCCAATTTTTCACAATTTTGGTTGATCATGAAAGCGATGTTTACCATCAGATCATAGTGTCCTTTTTGTTTTGCCATGTCCGGTTGACTGTCAAGCTGTCACAAGATGTCAGGCGTCGTGGAGATCCTCGTACCTCCCGAAGCGCAAGAAGTGGTTGCTGTTTTGGAGGCCCCACCAAATCCGGTGGTCTTGAGCTATCAAGGCACAGACGCCTTTGCAAACATAAGTGTACTCGGCAAAGGCCATGCATTTGCACAGCGTAAGTGTGCGATTGCCACAACAGCAATGAGCCAAGTGAAACGGCTCCAAGAGCAGTTGCAGAATGAGCTTCAAAGTATGATGACATCGTGCCGTCAGAGTATCCAGGAGAGCATCAAGTGAATTTTTGCACTGAGAGCAGCTTTGTGTGTTGAAACGGCGACAAGCTTAGGACGAGACCAAACTGGGCGAGACAGACCGAACTCGAAAGCTTCACCCACTGCTCAGTCACTTAACACCCATTGTTCATCCTGGGAAAGCATTGAAAATTCAAGAAGGAGATGAACAAAGGGAAGGTATAGCCCCTTTAAAGGGGGAAGCATAGATCATCATAAACCCTTTCCCTCACCTTCCTTTTATCATCTCTTTTTCTAGCAGCTTCTTGTTACTAGTATATAATTCCCCTTGTTACTAGTAACGTAGTGATGCCCTTGTTACTAGTAGCTTCTTGTCACACAGGACCTGGATGGAAAGGTGCAAACTTTGGAAGATGACACCGCAGAGCAGCAGCGAAGAGTTCAGTCCTTGGAGGTGGAGCATTGTGACGAAGAGAAAGAGGGCAAACATGAGACACTTGTGATATATACATATAATTACATATATATATATATTCCTGTGGTCTCTCTCTCTATATATATATATACACACAGTATATACTGTATATACGCAGTATCTTCCTTTTTATCAGGCCTGAAAAGGGCGTTTAGGATGTGATGCCTGGCTTGAATCTTCTTGGTTGGGCTGGCATCTGGATCAACCAAGACGGAACCCACAAACCCGAATGCACACATGCACTCAAAAACAAACAACCAAACATTGTTTGACACTCTTGTAGACTTGTAGAAGACACTCTTGTAGACCACTCTTGTGGTACTCTCTTCTGGGAGATTCTCGTGGGACACTCTTGTGGGACATTCTTGCGGGGTACTCTTTTGGGACTCCTTCATGGCACGGTCTTGTGAGACACTCTACTCTTCTGTCTTATGGACACTCACACTCTTGTAGGACACTCTTGTGGAGATTCTTGCAGGACACTTCGTTGGAGACTCTTGTGCCACTTCCCGCACTACATTTGTACTACCGAGGGGCCAGCTGTGAGGTTAGTACGACAATCTGGTGGGACACTCTTGTGTGGCACTTTTTTGGACACTCTTGTGGGACACGCTTGTCAAAGACTCTCGTGGGACACTCATGTACGACACCGGTGGTGGGGACACTCTGGTGGGAGACTCTTCTAGGACACTCTTGTGGAACATTCTTGCGAAAAACTCCACACTCTTGGGAGACTTGTAGGACACTCTTGTGTGTGTAATTCTTGCAGGACACACTTGTGGCGCACTCTCGTAGGACACTCTTGTGGGGGATTCTCGTGGGGCACTCTGGTGTGTAACTCTTTGTGACCCTCTTGTGGGACACTCAGGCGCAACACTCTGGTGGGACACTCTTGTGGGACACTCTCGGGACACTCTTGTGGGGCACCACCCTTCCTTGCCTCAAAGTCACGCGTAAAGTCTCCAAAACGAGAGCTTCGTACGAGACTTCCTCCCAAACTCGCAATTCAAGTCTCCAAAGCGAGCGTTTCGTTCGAGACTTCCTCTAAAACTCACAGTTCAAGTCTCCAAAAGGAGTGTTTCGTAAGGTACGTCCTCCAAAATTCAGGCGTCAAATGTTTAAAGCGAGCGCTTCGCGCGTCAAAGTCTCGAAGACAAGCGTGTCGAGACCTCCTCTCTCCGCTTGGGAATTCACCCAGTCACGCATCCCTGCTACCCAGTCTTCCTTTTCCACAAGTGCGCTCTTGCCTGTGATTGTTGCGGCTGGGTTCGACGGGTTCCTCTAAAGCACGAGCGAAAATGCAATTTCGGTAGAAGTCCTGAACTTCCATATCAGACCCATGGTGGGTCCAGGATAGTTCCCCAAAAGCACAAACTCAACAACGTCTCCGGTGAAGATCAGTGCATTCCATGTCAAGCCCACAGAACCTACCTTCACCATGCTCTGCCTGCTTGCTCGCCAAAAGCGTGTTGTTCCCCAAGCGGAGATTTTAGTCAGGCCAAACAGTCAGTCAGTAGACCTAATGTCCAGGAATCCACCTAGTCACGCATTCCTGCTACTTAACCTTCCTCTTCCATAGGCACGCTCTTGCCTGTGGCTGTTGTGGGCTGGGCTTTAAATCCTTTAAAGCATGAACGAAAAGACAGATGCTACTTTTGTTTTCTTTATACAATGTCTTAAGACATGAGGGTCTACAATGAAAGTCAACGTCTAGATGTGCAATAAGTCCCCCGGTGAAAAAAAACACGTTTAGACGTGCTAGTGTTGTACCCCCCGTTTAACTCGGTACAAACACAAACATTTAGTGCATTGGCTTTTCACGTTAGAAACGAGATTGTGGGGTCTACTTTGAACACCTGAGGTCCCTTTGAAGTAGTTTCAGGCATCAACATATTGCACGCACTCGCCTAAGTCTTTTTGATTTTTGTTGTAAGCGGCTGCAAGCATCCTTTCACTGTCCGTGTGGTGAATGGGCCCTCATTGATTGGGCAATAGGGCGTGTAGTTTTCGATCTTTTGTCATTTGTGGTGCCTTCAGCGTCTGGTGGCTATTGTAGTTTGCAACCCCGCTTCAGCGCATGCACTGGGCCTGCCACGACTGACTTTTTATAGGTCACCCGATGGTATATCCACACCAAGTATTGCACACCCTCGCCTAAGTTTTTTGATTCTTTGTTGCAAACATCCTTCTATGGTCCTTTGGTCGCCCGCCGTGCTGCTGTCCTTTCCCTCCTCTCTTTTTCCTTTCATTGCTCACTGGGAATATTTTGCTTGATCTTTTTTCATTCTTTTTGATCCCCGTCGAATACATTTTATTGATGCAGTACTTTTTTTTTGTTGATCCCTCACCCTGTGGGAATTATTCAGACTTGTTCATTCCAAAGCGCGACCTGATATGGAGGCAAAAGCAAAGCTGCAGCTGCGGCTTGCGCAGAGTGAACTTCCGCGTGAGATGCCCCGGGTAGCTCGAGATCCGGACGTCAGCCCCGAAGCTGTCGCAGCCATGGCCAAACGCCTGGTTGAACGAACCAGAAAGGATCTAGAAGCTCAGATGGCAGTGCCTTAGAGAACATTTATATATTTGGATACGTTCCGTCACATTTGGTTTTGGCGACTTATTGTTTCGAACATGTTGTTGCTTGAATTTTTCATGCACACTACCGAGCAATCCACACAGTACAGGTGCTGCAGCATCAGTTTGGCCAAGTCAGCAGGGAATTGGAAAGCCTTACCAGAGCTGCAGCCCTGGTGCGAGCAGGCTTTGGACTATGGCATGTGAAACTCCTCGTATAATTATTTGTTTAACTGATATGTAACTTTCTGCCAATTGAACAGGATGGAGTCTGGACAGTGGTGATTTGATGTGGTGTGTATGAGTCAAACAAGTATCACGAGGCTCTTTGATGATTTGATTAGTGGACACTCCGACTCCTTTTAACAAATCAGAAATGAGAGAGATAGAGAGAGAGAGAGAGAAGGAGCGCCAAGTGTCAAACTTGAGAACTTGGTAGGCGAGTGTGACGCATCAGCTCGGACTCTTCGGAAATATTTGGTTGACGCACTTGTGCGTCCTTCGACTTTGGAAGAGGCGCAGCACTTGGCGCTTCGGCTACTAAGTCAGGCGTTGGATGCGGCCACTTTGCTTTCAGCCCATGCATTGGCGCCAAAATCTGAAGCCAAAGCCCCTGTGGAGATTTTTGCAAAGTATGTGACTTGTCTGACTTCCTGACATTACAGCAGCCTGAGAAGTTTCAACTGTCAATAAACGATGTTCTATTATGTTCTGTTCGTTCTCATGTGCTCTCAGCGTGATACGATCTGGCCGCATAAGGAGAGTACAGTGGAGACTCGACGCATTCATGAAGAACTCTTGACACAACGGCTCCAGGAGTTACTGGCCGCTGGAGTTTCGGACGCCGCCACGGCACTTCATCCGCATCCGCTTCATCCCCTTCATCCTTCCCCAACTGACACATTGGACAAACCGTCCAAAATGCCTGAGGAGGGGCCCACCAGTCCCAAGTTTCTTCCTCCTATGCCAATTGGATTTCGAGGAGAGGGGACTGACAGCCCACCCTCGTCTGATGGATTCGCCCCTTGAAAGAGATGCAAGCGAAAGGACAGGAGGCCTGAAAGATGGGCATCCAACCCTCGCAAGCAACCTCTTTGTACATAAGTCCCGAGAACCGCACCAAGTGCGTTGAGCTGCAGCTAATGATGCCCACCAAGTGGTTTTATTTGGAAGAAATCACACCCTTTTGGAGTGGGAAGTGCTAAAGTGCAGAGGGAGTGCCTTGTGGATGGCCGACCTTTTTGCATTTGATCGCTTGATGGGGCGGGTAAACGTGTTGGTCTTCATAGAAGAACTTTTAAATTTTTAAAGGGGGGTAGGCCGCTAAGAGGTGAGGCAGGTAGCTAGGTAGCTGGTAGTAGCTAGGTAGCTAGTAGCTAGGTAGCTACTACCTACAAGTCCTGCTCGTGCTTCTCCCGCCGCCCCAAAGGCGGCGGGGGAAGCTTCCTTGAAGAAGCGCTCGCACTGATGATTTGGTTCCTAGATTTTTGGGGAAAATTAAGGTAGGGTTGGGTGTTTTCAGTTCCCAGATTGGTGTTTTCCCTTCCCGTGGTGTTTCCTTTTCCCAGATTGTTTTTTTTCGGCGGAGCCCATTAAGGTAGAAGAGACTCCTTTGCTCTCCTTTGCAGGTCTATGGATATCATGCCCAACAATGCAGCTGGGCCAGTGGCAGAAATCCCAGGCCCTGGTGATGTGATTTGATGTGTGACATTTTTGCGTGCACTCCGTCGACTCCGTTTCAAGATTCTGAGCACCCTTAAGATCCTGGCCAGCCATGAATCAAACTACCAAAAAAGGAAGCAGAAGGAATCCGATCAGGCTCTCGTCCCAGTACCACAACAAACGTATCACCAGCTCGCCTGAGGCGCTGGCAATGGTGAAGAAGGCTGTGTGATGACTTCCACTTGTCGCACGTGCGATCTCTTGAACATTTTCCCAAATCGACTAGTGCTTGCACGCATCAGTTTGATGAGTGTGAACGCATGACGCATGCCTACTTAGCCAGGCAGTATGGCAGACTCCGATGAGGACTGATTTCTAGTGCCAATGCTTAATGTTTGCTTGCTTTTCACAGACTTTACGAACCAAGGGCGCTTAAGGGTCCAATTGCAATTGCAATGACATCCAGAGGAATCGTTTTGGCCTGTGCTACCAGCGAGGTTTGAGTCAGTTTAGCATTTGAAGCTTTCAGTTGAATCTGGAGCTGCGCAGGGCTCAAGCTGCACTTCTTCAGGCCAAGGGGAAGGCGAGGACAGCCTTTTGAAGCCAGTCTGAGTTGACCTTTAGACGTTCCAGTTGCCAGGCTCTGAATCTGAAGAAGGCACAGTGGCCGGATGGCCCAAGTACTGCAAAAGGGTTGGGTGTAAATAACACGGATCCGACAAGGTATCATGAAGATGCTGAAAGAAGCAATTGAGAGGCTGATGGTTCTCTATAGACTCTGAGACATTTGGACATTGGGCCAACATGTTTATTCTGCAAACCTAAGGATGACAGCAGTGATGAACGTCGACGAAGCTCTAGAGAAAGTGGGGTGCCTGCAGGTTGCATAGATTGAGCTGCAAGATAAGATGGTAATCTCCTGGCCGCAAGTTGAGTCTTGCCCTGTTCTTGCTGCATTGAAGAGTCTGAAAGTTGCCAGCGAAATGATTGTTCAAGGCGAGATTTGGAAGCCTGCAATGCCGCGGAAGCACATCCCGCACAGCATCGGCATCAAGAAAAAGGCCCAGTGAACTCAGTGGACATGCAGCTAATTGAATGTAGAAATGGCAACCCAAGTTTCCTTACAAAACCTAGGAACGATATCATTAGCGCTTCCAAGTAGCGTGTTTACTTTCTTACTTGATTGAGTTGGCGCCTACTACTTCATTTCGTAAGGAGGCAGGGGAGGGCTACGCTCTTCACAAAGGACACAGCAAAGAGGGATGTTTCACAGGAGCCCTTGCGGCCCTTGCCTCTTGACACGGAGGATCGACGGGTCTGTGGCTGGCTTAAGAATGAGAGTCTGGCAGGTAGAGGATCTTCCGGACATCAACACCCTTTACGAGCCTCGGGAATTAGCACAGCTTTTTGTGGGAGGCTCAGTACAAGAACATATACGAAGAAATTTTGCTTGAAGATCATATTGAGGTAGCTAGCACACACACACACACACCAACTTTGACAAACAAGATTCGCTGGTACTGGTAATATACATATATATATATATATTTGTCTGAAATCAGATTGCGCACTTCCTGAAATTTTTGTTTGCCTTTCAGAAATGTGTGGACTCTTACGTTCACCTGGTGCTGCCGCCTGGAGCAAGTGTATGGAGCCTCAGACTCTGGTCTGGAATGTTCGTGCAACAGTCTCCTGAGAAACTCTACTCAGATGTCGGAACAACTACGTGGAGTTTTTGTGACATGACAACAGGGCTGTAGAGGTCAACCACAGATTCACCCACAAGAAAAGCAAGAAAATGGCAGCATAACACCTCCATTGAGGTGGCCCACACACCTGAAATGTTTTTGGCATCGATGCTGTCAAGCCTTGGCCCTCCAAGCCCACAGCTGGGGTGCTAAGACTGAAGAGGTTTTTGGAGAGAGAGGAAGGAGAGAGGGGGAAAAAAAGAGAGAGAGAGAGAGATGGACTGGGAAGGACTTGCTGCCATTGTCAATGCAGCAAGCAAGCTGTCTATATATTTCGCAAAACCGTCGAAGGTCCAGGAAGTTTTTTTGTTCCCCTCTATTTTTCTCAAAAGGGTTACAAAGGTCTTGAAGAGAAAATGACGTACGCCATGATATATCTGAAGACTTACCTTGTGAATGCTCACCTTCGGAAGGAGGCATGAGGTTATCCCTTCTCCCAGTTGCCCTTTAGGCCTAGGCCTTGCATTCAAGTCTTGATATATTTGGCAAGCCAGTAGGAGGCCTTTCCTCCCGCAAAACTGTTTTCCTGGAAATTGGAATTGCATACATCTTTTGCCAACCAAACATCACAAAACTGTTGTGCAAGAGCTAGCTACCTGGCAGCTACCCATTTCATCCTTTGTACGGACTCAGCCTCTTTGAGGGACAGGCGGCCTGTGACTCCAAGCACGGACGTTGGAGGCCATTTGCCGTTGCGCAAGAGGTAGACTATTGTAGAGCTTCGCACACCAGCGGGTTATTGTTTCTGTTCGGCGCCTGTCAAGAAAACTATTTTTGAAGCATTTTCTTGGGGCGTGCGCGTACGATGGTACTCCAAAGCACCGCGAGGCTCTTCACCACCATAGCACCTATATTATAAGGAAGGGCCATTTAATTTTGGAGTTTTTTTTGTTTCCTTTTTTGGATTTTTTGTTTTTCGTGGCTTCTGGCTTCTGGCTTCTGTGGCTTCTGGCTTTTGTGGCTTTTGGCTTTCGTGGCTTCTGTGGCTTTTGGCTTTCGTGGCTTTTGTGGCTTTCGTGGCTTCTGTGGCTTTTGGCTTTCGTGGCTTCTGTGGCTTTTGTGGCTTTTGTGGCTTTTGGCTTTTTGGCCTATCTATCTGTCTATATCTATCTGTCTATATCTATCTGTCTATCTATCTATCTTTCTATCTTTCTTTCTTTCTTTCTTTTTGGCAGCTGTTCTCCTTTCTCTTTTTGCATTTGCTTTTCCTGTTTTTTGCGTTGCAAAGACGAAGCCAAACAAGGAAGCAAGCAAGCAACCAAACAAACAAGCAAGCAAGCAAGCAAGCCAGCCAGCAAGCAAGCAAGCAAGGAAGCAAGCAAGCAAGCAAGCAAGCACGAGCTGCTCACCTTTGGATCTGGTGTGCTGCTGGGAGGGGCGCTGCGCCCCCCCCAACCCCCCCTGCGCCACGGAATCTGCACTTCATCCCCGACACCCGCGCCTGCCACGAAATCAATATTTTAAGGTGAACTCCCCGGTGCAAAACTTTCTAACCAAGCGAATATGCCTCCTCTATCTATCTATCTATCTAACTTTCTATCTTTCTATCTTTCTATCTGTCTATCTGCAGTTCAACATCCACAAAGTACTACACCTGCCACGGAATCCGCACTTCAAGGTCCACAAAGTCTCGCGCCTGCCACGAAATCTGCACAGCAACTCTACACTTCCACATCCACAAAGTCCTGCATTTGCCACGAAATCTACACTCCAAGGCCCACAAAGTCCTGCGCCTGCCACGAAATCTGCACTCCAAGGCCCACAAAGTCCTGCATTTGCCACGAAATCTGCACTTCAAGGTCCACAAAGTCATGCATCTGCCACGAAATCTGCACTCCAAGGGCCACAAAGTACTACACCTGCCACGAAATCTGCACTCCAAGGCCCACAAAGTCCTGCACCTGCCACCAGCTCTGCACTTCCACATCCACAAAGTCCTGCACCTGCCACGAAATGTGCATTGCAAGGTCCACGAGTACTGCACCTGCCACGAAACACGAAAAACAACAAAAATCCAAAAAAGAAACAAACAAAAAATTCCCAAATTAAGTCGCGGCCCTATTATAAGTGTTTTTGTGTCCCTTTGTCTCCCATGGCTCTTCCTGGATGCTAGACTCTAGACTGAGATGATTCTGCTTTGTTTTTCACAAGATAGCGTGAACTATTGGGATTCTTACTTCAAGTATAGGAAGAGCTGCATGTGTGCGTTTTCGAGCCTGGGTGCTGGTGCCGCTGCTTTGTGCCGCTGCTCTGTGCACTTTGGACCATGGGAGCTGGGGCTGCGGCTGGTGCCGCTCGAGGATGCTGCTGCGACATGTCTTTGGCCCTGCGCTTGGAAGCCAGGGTGCTGGCACCGTTGGAGGGCGGTGAAGGGCTGCAGGGTGCTGTCCGCAGACATCGTTTTGCTATCTGGGGTAAATGCTGGCGTATTCTTTGTTTTCTTTGTTTCCACTGGCTCAAAGCTGGCGGAAAAGCTTTCAAATTTGTCGGCATAAAGAACAATCAAGCAGCCGCTGCTGTTTGGGGTCAAGGCCGCTGCATTTTTTTTCAGTTTTAGATGTCCAACAAATTGTATAGGTTGTGTTTTGGCAATGTTGTTGGAAACAAAAAACCAACAACACTGCAAACTGTAAATGCCGATGTGGTCACTTGTCTGGCTGTGCTGGATTGCTTAGGTTGCCTCTTTTGTGGTTTTTTGTGGTGTCTCTGCTTGTCTCCGGCACCCATCTTTGTTTGCGTCGGAAATTAGGCTGTGGCAGTCGTTCAACACAAGAACCTAGCTAGACTGCCCATTCTGAGAGAGAGAGAGAGAGAGAGCGCAGTATAGCCAACAAAAGGCCCAATAATTTTGCCAATAATGGGACCAGCCACCAAAAAATTGCAGGAGTTGGTATAGTGGTGACAAATTGTTTTCTAAACTCATTAAAGGATGTTAAGAACATAAACGGCCGAATTGCCACAGTAACGTTTACCTCACATGGGTACGACCTGACATTTATATATTTGTGCCTATGCCCCACACAGCGGTTTTCCCACTGATGATTTATATGACCAGTTATCGCAAGGAATTGCATTATGTAGAGGACATGTTGGAATGCTAGAATCCATCACATTAGAGAAGGGAATGCAGATTTGTGTGGGCCATATATTTGTTCCATATATTATTGGGAGAGGCATGGAATACTTAAATAACATGAACGAAAAAACAACAGAACGTGGGGCGCTTTTCCTCGGGTGGTGCAACATGCACCGCCTGACAATTTCAAACGCAGCCAGTTCTCGAACTCACCGGACAGATTAATCACCTACAAAGAGAAGACAAATGATACCCCCGTTCACTGCTGAGAGATATGCCCAAATTGATTACTGGCCGACTTGTAGCGGCTGGAAATCTTCTTGCGCGAATGTACAGAGCCGAAGGGAGATTGCTTTTGATTCAGATCATTTACTACTAGAATCATATGTATATACTTATGATGTGCCTTACAGCCTAACTCTGAAATCTCAAGGATTCAACAAAAAGCGCAAAATAAATGTAAAACCACACTCAGAAATGATGACCAGGAGGTTTTAAAAAGGCAAACAAAAAGGCAGCTGGTCAAAAAGAGTGCATATCAAAAAGCACAAAACTTGCAAAAAGACGCCGCAAAAAGAGCAAACAACACGCAACACATCATTTTAAAAAAAACAACAATCACAAAACAAAAGCAACAAAGACGTTGTGCGTTTTTTTTTCTCTGATGTTTGTGCATTTTGTGTGCGATATTTTTGCGATTTTTTATCCGATTTTCTGCGTTTTGTTTGTGTGTCTTTGTGAGTTTTCCCAAGGAAATGCAAAAAACATGCAAAAACACCGCACAAAGACAGGCAAGCTAAAGGCAAAAAAAACAGCAAACAATAAAGACAAAAGCAAAGACCAGAACGTTTTTGTTCGCTTTTGTTTTGCTTTTTGTTTGCATTTTTTGTGCATTGGTTTTGCATTTTTGGCGTGGACAATTAATTGTTTTGGTTTGCATTTTTTGCATTCCAACGTTTCCCTTGGTGACTTGTTTTTTGTGTTCTTTGCATTTTTTGCAGCATTGGTTTTGCATTCATTGTTTTTGTGTTTATGCATTTTTAATGTTTTGCTGTGTCATCAGAACTAGCTTTAATGTACATCATACGTATATATGAAGCCGCCGCCAAGCGCGCAGGAATCCAAAAAGTCCAAGGTATCTCAAACCTAGTTTCAAACAATGGAGTCTCTACAATCAGTCTTGTTAATCAGTCTTGTTGTCAGGCATTTATATGTCATATTATGTAGCAGGTATTCAGTTGCAAGTGTGGGTTGCACATATAGTGGCGTAGCGCTGCGGTGACCGGTTTCTGTTGTGTCGTTCAAGGCCAAGCCGTTTTGTAGGTACTGCTGGCTACCTCAGGGACAGAGAAGGCCCCCCTCGTTTTGCGCCCCATTTTCTGCAGGCAGCATGTCCGACGGGATGTTGTGTGCACATGCTGTGTTGAAACGAGTGACAGACCCCTCGATGAATATCCCAGACCTTCGCGGGCCCCTGTACAAACATGAATGTGTCACAAGGTGGATAAGGAATTTGGGCATGCATAACATACAGGACAGGTTTCCACGTTTGGACATGTGTTGATTCTGGAGTTTCCATGTTTGTGTTTATCACTGAAACATGAGACGCTCGAGAAAAGACTCGACCAGCTGTGACGAATGACAAGTCAGGAGTACAGAGTTGCATGTGCACTGTAAGAGAAGCAGGACAAGAACAGGCTGAGTTGTCAACCCAATCCATAGGATCTTAGCAGTCTTAGTGTACTATACAACGTCACAATGAGTCACGAGTTTTCACTGCCTGTGGCTTGTTGGAGTCATCTCGCTCTTGAAGCTGTTCAGGTTTCTGCTGGGGTCAAAGCTTTGTGGAAGTCGAGATTCGCCAAACCGATACCAAGACTGCCAGAGTATCCCAGTAAAACGAGACGACATGGGTCGGTAAAGCTTCAGCCATTGTTCAGCAGTTGATGTTGATTGCCCACATAGAAGTCAGTCACCTTGCTGATAGTTGCCGCCTGAGGTGTCGCTGCATTTGATGCACATGCCACTCGCTATGAGGTGAGTGGCAGACTGATTGTAATCCTCGGGACATCTCTGCTCTTTTGAATGCTCCAAGTTAATTGTTCTGGCCTCATTCGACTTCAGACTCTCCAGGGGTTCTGGACGCTCCTCATGGCCAGGCATTTTCAGGGATGCCTCGAAACCTTCTTCTGCGTGTGATCTCAGGCTCTGAGTCGCTGAGCAAGACTGAATAAATTTGGTGCCCAAGAAGACATGCAGACTTGAGACTTGAGACAATGTTGAGGGCACCTTTCACGCATTCGATTCATTCGGCTTGGAGATGTCGCGTGCAACGGGAGGCATTGTGGTGCCGCCAGGGTCTGAAGCTTCCTTGATGGCATCGGCCTTTAGCGATAAGGGCGTGCGGTCATTGCCAACACAGGTGCAATGCGCGACTGCGCGAGCTAAGAGGATAGAGCTTTCAAGCTTTCTCCTCTCTCCTCGTTGGCACTTGTAGGCTTCAAGCAACTGGACTCAAAAGCTACAGTATGTATATAGCAACAATCGTCTGGCATGTTGCTGAGCTCTGAGATTGGTGCTTTCCAGGTGCGGCGCTTTCTTGATCGACACTTGCGCAATGCAACGAATCATTGCGAGGTGAGCAAAACGATGGTTCTCAAGGTAAAGTAGTCGTGTAGATGTCTACTTTCAGTACGTGTTTGGAAGGACATTTACACACATACACAAGTCAGGGACCTGCTAGATTTCTGAAGGATTAATACCATTTGTGCCCTGACAACCTGATTCATTCAGCCTTGCTCAATGGTGCCAGGCGAGGCGGCAAGCTTTGGATGAGAGCATCTCAAAGCTGCCTTGGGTGGACACCTTGTTGACCCTCGGCTGAGCAGGGAAACAGTCCAGGAAAATAAGGACTCCGAATAAAGCAAAGAATTCAGAAAGCATAGGTACTCAGTCAGGACACTAGGAGAGGATCAAGATGGTCAATTTAATTTCTCTTATAATTCGACAAGCTGAAGCTCAAACTGGGGCATCCTCATTTGTGGCTAGAGTTGCTTGCTTGCTTGCTCGCTTGCTTGCTTGCTTGGTTGGTTGGTTTGTTGGTTGGTTGGTTGGTTCAAGGCAAAGCTGAAATCATGACTGAGGTGGCTCGACCCTGCAATGTTGCCGAAGGCCAGATGCTCCCCTTCAACCTTTGCATTGGATTCAACCCATTATATACCTGGCCACCAATGGATTGCTCAGTCACAGAGTCACAGCGGCAAAAGTTATTTTCAAGATCCTTCTGTGGTCAAGCACATGCAGCATTCTATCCGAGTAGGTTGATGAAGAAGCAGAAGGAAAAGAGAAAGATGAAAAGCAAAAGGATGAAAAGCAGAAGGACAAGGAGAAGGACATTTTGGGGAATGTCCTTGGATCATTGTAGGTTCATGTAGGTCCTCCATTCTCTGGCTGGACAGCGGTCTTCAACGCATTTCAATCATGGCCTTGAAGCTGCGGCCCAGGCTGCACTGTTTCATATGCACCACTGGCAGCACCGAACACTCATAATTTTATGAGCGCAACCATTCATGGGACGCAGCGGTGACAGCTGAACGCAGATCTTGGCATGACCTGTTGCTTGAGAGTTGCCGCAAGGAGAGAGAGATCCCTCGCAGCCGTCGAGTTTGAGCCCCAGAAATCCAACCCAAAAGCGATGGCCTCCAACCTACTAGCGATGGCCTCCAACCTCATAGCGATGGCCTCCAACCCAAAAGCGATGGCCTCCAACTCAAGAGCGATGGCCTCCAACCCAAGAGCGATGGCCTCCAACCTAATAGCGATGGCCTCTAACCTAAAAGAGATGGCCTCCAACCTAATAGCGATGGCCTCCAACCTAATAGCGATTGCCTCCAACCTGATAGCGATGGCCTCCAACCTAATAGCGATGGCCTCCAACCCAAGAGCGATGGCCTCCAACCTAAAGCGATGGCCTCCAACTTGATAGCGATGGCCTCCAACCCAAGAGCGATGGCCTCCAACCCAAGAGCGATGGCCTCCAACCCAAGAGCGATGGCCTCCAACCTAAAGCGATGGCCTCCAACCTGATAGCGATGGCCTCCAACCCAAGAGTGATGGCCTCCAACAGATTCATTCTCGAATACATTTAACATCATTTAACGGTTCAAAGAATCTTGACGCGTTGGTGCCAAGATTGCCTCTGCCAGGGAGATCGACCGGAGCGACCCAAGCAGAATGAACGTCTCCTGCAGAATGTCCTAGACGATTCCAAAAGACCAGTGCTCAAGCCGACCATCAAGGTGGGATCGGACCTGTGAATGCGCTGATAGGTCCATGGCTGGAAGGTATAGATGGTATAGGGGTCTTCCTGGGTCTTGGAGCGCCATCTCAACTCTTAGCCTGGAACTCTGGATCCTTGGAACTCTGATCGCAACATGTTCGGCATTCTGGAACGCCTGATCCCGGTCCAGCCGGTCCAGCCCTACGTTTTGCATCTTTCAAATTTTGCATTTCGGATGTGGTTGGCAACTTGCAATAGATCCAACGACCGCGTAAGTACACCTTGTGAGTTATCCAAAAATGCTGTTTGGAGCCTATCCCATCCTGTAATCTCTTCATCCAGACTCAGACTGTTCTGGTAAGGGAATCTGCCAGGCTGACTGAGTCTGGTGTCTGGTCATCCTCTGGGTTTTTCACAGGTAAGTCGTGTGTTCAGAATTTTGCTTTAACACCTCAAGTGTCATCAAGAAAGAAGGCTGTTTTGGGGTTCTTGAACTTGCATCCACTAATTGCAATGCCAAATGCTTCGGCATTGGCGGGTTCAATTTTTCCATATTGTTCCTAGCTTATGAGAGTTGTGCGAAAGAAGGGTGATGTTTGGCACATGTATCAAGCTCATGCCAAAGAAGTTAGCTCAACTTTACTTTTGAGTGGCAGAGCGTGGAAGTATGGGAAAGGTAAACACCGGACCAGTGAGTCAGAGAGGAAACAAGGAGTGGAAGGAGCAGAGGGGAGGCAAGCTTGGATAGAATGAACAAAGATAAACGTCCAGACACAATTGCAGACGAGAAGTCATCCAATCTTCAGAAAAGAACAATCTCAAAGGATGTCACAATATGTCACAATGACTTATATAAGTATCACAATTTTGGTTGACTTCTTCACTCTCCAGTTCGCTTTCTTTCGCTATACTGACCACTGACCGCTGTCAGTATTTGTAGATATCTTTACAGCATTTACATGTCTAGTCTAGTCTATACTATATATAATACATATATATATATATATTATATCACATCACATACATTCTTGCTAGTCAGCCAATACATGCCAAGACTCACCAAGACCCGAACTCTGAAGCGGGCTATTCGTGCCAGATACCGGAGCCCACTCTGCGGTTGCCACCAGGGATTTGGCCACCGCTGCCTCCGCGCTATGTGATATCTGAGAGGCCGAAGCAAATCCAAGGGTAGTTCGCAATTCGCAATGGCACTTGCAACGGTATATTCTGCCTACAACATTTCTCGCAGCTTCATATATTTCTTTTGCACATGGCACATGCTACCTAGATAGGCTTGGGGTACTTGGTAGTCACTCACTCCCGCTGTTTGCCAGGGGCTTGCAACAGTGGAAGGAAGGCATTCGTCAGTGGGAGGACGAGATCTACCAGCAAAGATGCCCTGGCTTGTTTATATGGATAATCAGTTCGGCGTGACGAATACGTTTGCTGTGCAACATGGTCGGGGAAACTGATCGATGCCTTTGACTCATTTCGACTCGAGAAGGGAATGGCCGTGGAGTCGTTCGAAAAGAGGCCCTTCTTATTTGCGAGCATTGTGTGGAGCCTCAGGACTCGCCACTCTGCTCACTTCGCAAGAAACCCTTTGAGGCATTTTTGAGCCGTGTTTGCAGGCTTTGGGAAGCTTTTGAAGCTCTTTTTTGGACGTTTCTTCTTTTCCGTAAGTTCTGCCTCTTGAACGCACAGAGGCTGCTTTGCCCAAATAAAAGCCGGTACCTTTCACAAGACTTGTCTACCTGAACGCATCCAATAATCGAGATGTGGAGCAAAGTAGTATCCATGCTGGAAAAGTCCGTGCTGCTGCCTTTCGTGTGTTTGCCTCCCTAGCCTGTGGCATTCCTTTTCTCGCTCAAAACCCAGCCCAAATGTTGAAACCAGTTTATGCCAACAGTGCTCCACATCCATTCATCCATTCATTGGTTTGTCCTCATGCAGAAATCACATGTTCTGTTCTATTCAACACACTTTGATCTTGCAGTTCGGCCATTTGCCAAGTAGAAGCTTGGAGGGTGTCGCTTGACCTCCTCACTGCACCGCATGTCAAGAAGGAACTCAAACCGTCCGAAACTTCATGCACAAGCACAGCGCTGAAGCAATCTTGGAAGGTCCACTGAAGTCCAAATTGAATGGCAATTCCAAGAACAAAACGCAGATGTGCATTTTTAGCCAAAGTAGAAATGATATGATTGATATCACTGTAATCATATATATATATATATAATCAGCTTTCTCGACCCCAGCCATTGAATCACGTGGATGCTGATAGCATAGTTTATTTGCACGTCACCGCCCAGCTCACCCCTGCACCTTCCCCATCGCAAGGGGTCGCTTTACATAAAGATAACCAGCAGTATCCTTAGGATATGTTTATCGTCCTTGAAACATTGCATTGCTTGGCTTCTTGCTTTGTGCCAATGACGCTTGACTGAACTTTAAAGGCCAAAGCGTCAACACTCTGGGTGAACCAGTTAACAATGGAAGATGTTCGTAGACTCCACTTTGAAAAAGATGAGGTACGAGAACACGGCCAAAGTGGTGTTGGGGGAGCTTTTGTCTAGCCAACTCTTAGAGCCAGAGGCGAGGCCCTCAATGATTCAAAGCGTTGGTTCCAGTGATTCACAGTCTTCCTCACAGACTGGTCTGATGAATGAGTTTTGTCAAATCATTCGGCCTGTCCTCCTGTGTGCGGCAGGTCTTGCACTTTGCTAGCCGCTTCCAGCAACTCAGCCACGCAAGCAAGCTTTATTTGACTCCCGCTTGGTTAGATGAAGAGGAACTTTGGGGTCATGGCAATGGTGACCCAGACGGTTCATCAACCCCCGCAGAGCTTAGGTGCCTGACAGGCGAACTTTACCACTTAGGAAAGTGCGGTGCTGGATGGTGTTGGACGTGCTCGGGGATAACTACTAAGCTATCGTTCATTTTGTAAGAGTTTTCGACTTGATTATTTTATGACTAGCTTTGTGACCCTCGAAGATTCAGTTTAGTGCACTTGCTTGTGGTTGAGGCCTTTGTTCACGCGCATTTTTGAACAATATGCAGACGTATATTCTGCCTGCTGCTCGGAAGAGTTTCTTTGGATGTTCATCTTCAAAGGAGAGCAAAGTGTTTTTGAATGATGATTGCAAACATTGCAAACTGAACTTCTGTCTCATGATTGCATTGCATCCCTGAAGTCTCAAGACTCCCAAAGTAAACTTGAACGCACTCAGCGTCCTCGTCCTTCTTGGGAGTTCAGGCAGACTTAACGCGCACGGACTTCAACTCAGCTTCTAGCGCTTCAGAGAATGTCTGGATGCCCAGGTGCGCTTCAGGTCTCTAGAGGTCGGAAAGTTACTAGTAAGGCACTTGTTCCTAGTAGCGAACATTGTTACTACTAGTAAGGCACCTGTTACTACTAGCGTGGCACTTGTTACTACTAGCGTGGCACTTGTGAGTTTAAGTTTTTAATGTTGGAACCAATTCAGCACTGCAGATGCAGGGCCTCAAAGCTGTTTGCAGATCTTCAATTCCTTTTGACGCTGCTGAACGCTGAGGGTTCTGAGCCAAATACACCCACACCTAGACACAAAAGTGGTGCGGAGCTCGAGCAAGGATTTCAAGCCAGACAGAGACTTGTTGAATGCTGTTAAGTAGCAAAGCAAGGGGCGTCGTTGCCAAGGTGCTCGGCGCAGCAAGAAGGCAAGAATAGTGGAGAACTTGCTCGACCTTGTCGCCAGAGCTTTGTCAATCATTCTAGAACACCGCTGCCTCAATGGTCCAATGCACATTGTGGGCCCAGAACCATTTTGTCAGCCGCTTAGTGCTGAAAGCTGGTGACAGGATGAGAAGGCTCACAGTCGCAAGACCTTGAAGTACAGGGAGATCGGGGGGGGCATGACGGGGCACCGAAGACTCGGTCTAAGACAAGTTCTCTTCAAGTGGAAGGACAAGGCAATCAAGTGGAGGTTCCTGCTTGTCTTAGCTTTTTTTAAAGCCCGCTCCCCCTCCCTACTTAATTAAGGAATAGCTACCTAGCTAGTAGTTTAAATGGCTACTAACTACTGGACGCAGGATAGCTCGCGCTTCTTCAAGGAAACTCCCCTGAGAGGGCGGCCGGGGAAGCTTCCTTGAAGAAGCGCTTGCACTAAGGATTTGGCTCCTAGATTTTGAGGAAAATTATAAATAGGTTGGAGGCCGTGGCTATTAGGTTGGACGGATTAGAGGTTCCTGTGTATCACAAAATGGTGGCTTGTCTTAGCTGTCCCAACTTCAACTCTGGCCTGATAGAATGCCTCCACGGGAATGAGTGACATTTCACCACCTGACCTGAATTTCGATAGATGCGAAGGCGAAGGCTCTTTGATGAGGATGAATCACATCAAACTGAACACTTTGACAATGCCCACTCTGAGTTTCTGAGCAGTATATAGTGATCAGTGATCAACTTGTCATCTCTCCTAGGCATCGTTTCCGTTAGCATTTTACGTCACTTGCCATGCCATAGTAGCCCTTGCAGGAGGGACCTGCAGATATCATGTCCTTCAATGCCTTCTTCCATTTCTGTGCAGAGTTTGAGCTTTTCCCGAAGCATGCGTTTGCCCGGCAATTTCTTGCTGTATAGTGTGGTCGGATGTGGTCGGTGCTGGTCGAAGGCTGTCTTGGTTCTAATAGAATAAACATTCAAGCCCGGTTTAGCCATCTCCGTTTATTGCGGCATAGTTTGCTTTTGAGCTCAACGCAAGTGGCCAGGTCTTTTGATGAGCTAAAGATGATTTACGACTCCTCGGAAATGGTCCAGGAGCTTCGCAGCGATGTTCCCGAGGTGGGGCAAGATGGTGGATTGACTTGAATCAACTGAAGGAATACTGCACGACGGTGGTTCGACATTTTTCCTATCAAGCATGGGTTTGTGCTCCACATCATGTGACTGGACTTCGTGACACTGGAAGATCTAGATTCATTCCGCACTAGCTGGCTGAACCAGTCGTTACAAATCAGACTGCATGGGGCCCTGGGGTATTTTTTGCACGTCATTGGTATGCCACTTGTGCCATTCGTCATTTTCCATGGATAATGAAGTGGTTCTCCCCTTTGCAGCTAGAGTCGTACCACATTGCATAGACCTACATAACTCAGGGCCGCAAAGAGGTTGAGTCTAGTACGGTAGCATCTTCAAAACATATTACCGTTTGTTCCGAACCGAACGTGCCCTTCAACTCCCATGATGGAAGCAAGAGCGCTGGACTTTGAAAGGGGGGAAGAACAATTCTCAAAGCTCTGTTATCGAGTCTAGCAAGTCACAGTTCAGTTCTTCTGGAGATTCTTTTGTTACTCTAACCCACTGACAGAGAAAAGAAACCAAAAAAGAAGCTAAGGGCCTTTACCTTCTTTGTACTCTTTTTGTTCTCATTGGCTGACGGATTTTTTTTTGTACACAACGGATGGAGGTGCCGCGGCGCCGCACTACACCGCAAGCATCAGCAGCTTTAGCAGCGCAGTTGCCACAGGCACAAATGATGGCAAAGCGCAAGCGAGTATGTAGATGCCTTCTTCACATCATTTTGAAGCGACGTAAGTCTTGCAGTTTCAAAACATGCCCTGCCAGAAGCCGCATGGACTGGACTTGCAAACAGTTCCCAGTTTGGGAGATTGCCCTTGATCACTGGCAGGTCGATCTTTCCTTTATGGATACACCCATGCTGGAGATGCCGGATGCGGAGTACCTTGGAATGGGATGCACGTGTATATAGTCGTCAACATCTCATCATACACAGATGATGATTTCCAGTTTGCTTCCAGTGCTTTTTCATGCTTTACCAAATTTTGAGATCTTAGCAATCCCCGTTCACTACAATTTCTTCCCCCGCAAAGGGGTGCAATGGGCATGCACCGTCAAAGTAAATCTTGCTCCCAATATAAAACTCAATAAGCCCAAGCAGCATAGTTTGGGAGACAAAGTCGAGCCCCGGTCGGAATGATTCAGGTTGCGTGTCACATTCTTTTTTGCAGCTTTGGAGGAATGGCCCGGGCCTTGGTGAACCTTAGCTTTTGAAAGGTCAAGTGGAGCAAATCCAGCTTTGTTGAACACACATCACCAAAAGCTGTTTGTGTTGCTTTCTGATTTTCTAGTGTCTTTTTTTGGTTTGCTCATGTGAAGACAGTGTGGCAGCCGAGGCTGGAAAGTCGCTTCATGCGACTTGCTGACATAGTGGCTCAACGCCTACCTTGGAGCTTGGAAGAGCTCGAGGAGACATTCTAAGTGGCACAACGTATAGCAGCGATAGCATGTAGCCTGAAAGGGTGACGGGCACCAGGACCCTCAGATCGATCCCTTTTTTTGGCACCAAAGACTAAAAGCGGTGAAATCTGACAGTAGAGCCACAAGTGCAGGAGACCTCAGGTGAGAAGGCGCAGCGCTTCCCGGAGAAGAAAGCCCGCCGCTCTGCCATTGCGCCCAAGGACGTGGTGTTGCCGCAATGCTGGGTGCTTGGGTGTTTCTGTTAGTTTTGGGTATTTGGCACACTTTGCATGCAGCTCCCATGCAATGAAGCTTTCTGTTTTTTCATCCTGTCAATCTGTCAAACACTTTGCTTTGAGGGTAAAGAAGGGGGATTGAAGAGGGCCGGACTCAGGGACTTTTCGCCGTGGATTGTTTGGTCTGGAGACAAGCCTGTTTGGTCCAAGCAGGCGAAAGGTCTCAGGAACAGAGCTTTTCACGAAAGGTAGCCTGGTAAGGACTACCTTGAGTTTGCTTTGCGAAGCAAAGGGACTGGCTTGAGAGCTTGCTCGGGACTAAAGATTGGTAGATCAATGTCTAAC